TTTTGAAAACGTCCATTCAAAAAATCATTCAAATTCCGATATTAGCTTTATTTCTGGACGAATCATTATCTGAAGACCATTTTTGATTTTTCCATAAAAAGTCATGTTTTGACCAACTTTTCATGAAATATGGCACAGGCAAAAATAAAAAATGCTCGAATACCGAAAAGGACTTCATTTCTGGACGAATCATGGTCTGGAGAGCATTCTTGGTTTTTTCAGAGAAAAAATATTTTTTTAGTCATTTTTTCCAAAATGCGACCCTCCATTTAGACCCCTAAATATCAAATTGGGCACGAACTTTTTGCGGCAATCTTTAAGTACCCAGTCAACCTTGAAAACCCCAAAGTTTGAGCCGATTCGGGAATTTACACTTGTATGACTCCCCTGAGAAGTGAAAAGGGCGTAAGTCCGCGGACTTTCCCAATTAAACTTGCGCCCTTCTTACTTTTCAGCAGCAGTGAGTGAGGGAACGGCATAGGGTCTCGGGTCTCATCTTGCATGCGTTACTGCACCTTCTTACAGTGATTCACACGACTCTGCTCTCGGCGGAAAGTTGACACAACTGCAGTCGCTTAAGATCAGAGAACTTACCCTTTGTCGACGCACCGCTTCAGCTCTGTGGCGAACACGCAGAACTCCCCGAAGGTGAGGTAGTTGGGCGTGCTCCGGTGGGCGCACTGCTGGGCGCACCGCAGCATCTCCAACACTGAAACGGGAGGAGAAGTCACATCTCAATAAAATAAAGAGAAAGAAAAAAACAACAACCAACTCGTTGCTGAAAGGCATGTCGATAAGCGATGTGAGATTGTGCGGTGCTGAGAGGGACGCTATCGCCAGCGATCTAAGTTTAGCAGTGAGCTCAGCGAAAGTGATGTGATGAACGGGGTGAACAAAAGCCACGGAACAGATCGTTTCATAACAAACGCGATCGGAGACGACAAAAAGGGCGCTTCCGAAGCGCGGAGAAGAGGTCGACGGTGGGGAAAACACGGTTTGAATGACATGCCAAGTCGCATCGGGATCAAGCCAGTCCCTGACCCACGCCAACCCGCGACGCGCCCCGCTCAGGCCGCATCAGCACAGGCATCATCTGTCTTCGGGGAAGCGAGTGCGGGCACGAGAGAAAGAGTCAACAGCGGAGGGGGGGGGGAGGGGAGAGGGCAAGGAGGGCGAAGACAGAATGGGGGGAGAAGAGAGAAGGGAGAGTGGAGAAAGAAGGGAGAGGAGAAAGAAAGGAGAGGAGAAAGAAAGGAGAGGAGAACGAAGAGAGGAGAAAGAAAGGAGAGGAGAAAGAAGAGAGAGGAGAAAGAAGGGAGAGGAGAAAGAAGGGAGAGGAGAAGGAAGGGAGAGGAGAAGGAAGGGAGAGGAGAAGGAAGGGAGAGGAGAAGGAAGGGAGAGAAGAAAGAAGAGAGGAGAAAGAAGGGGGAGGAGAAACAAGGGGGAGAAAAGAGAGGGAGAAAGAGGGAAGGGAAGGAGGGTCCCGTGGGTCCGGTCCGGTGCTGCCGCCCACGAGCCCCTGGAAGGGCAGGGTAGGCCGCCCGGCCACGCCCCCGCCCGACGGGACGGTATCCTCTCCTCCGCAGGCGCCCTCCCCTCGCCGAGCGACGCCTCGCCTCCTGGGGGACTCAGACGGTGCACACATACACGAGGTCGGGTCACGGTCACCACAACACGCAGGTGTCCGAAGACCTGTAGGGTGTCTCAGCGCAGCAGTGGTATATGGCGCCCGCGGATCACCACCAGTAATCTCCCTATCGCTGTTCGCACTCCAACGCAGCGCGGCGCGGTGCTGCGCGGTGTCGACGGCCCCTCCGCCCCGCGCGCACGCGCCGCAGATTAGTCCCAACACCGGAACTTTATCGACAAAAGAGCGCAAATCTACGATAACCAGCAAACCGGAGAGACTATGAGAGACCAACAGTGTGCTGCGCTGAGCACTCGTGACCGTAGGCAGACTGTTGAATAAGTGTGCCTGGCAAGTACTCTGTTGGACTTTCAGTGAGTTTAGCAGCACACCCCAAATTACCGGAAAGCATAGCATTATAGATCAGTGAGACCAACAGCAGCTCGACAGCAGCCGATCGATCTTACCTTACCGTCATCTCAAATCGCCAAGAATGAACCCGAGATCAATCGTAGACCTTACATTCCTATCCGCCATTTACCAAATTCAAATTAAAACTTTACACACACACACAAAGGCATCCCAAAGAAACGAACTGATGTGTGTCAGACTAGGACAGGTACAGGAGGGTAGGAGCGGGCTTGCTCACCGCTGACCCCCCCCCCCCCCTTTCCCCTTTTCCCCTCGCTCCGCGCCCACACAGGCCAGCGCCTTCCGCGAAGCGAAAATGAAGCAGAGGAAAAAGCTCTGGCCGAATAATAATCATGCTGATGATGCAGAGGCAACTGACGCAATATTCTTTTTGTTCCGACCAGCTGCGTCCGGGGAGTGGCGTCGCGTGGCGTCGCGTGGCGTCGCGTGGCCGCCCCCACGGCTGCGTGTTTACTGTTTACTATTTGCTCGGTACGGTTTGAAACAACCGCTCACGGGTGGCACGTGCAGAGGGAAGCAGGAAGAGCGGTGCAAGCGAGCTGGTAATGAGAGAGACCAGAGTCGCCAAGAGAGCAGGGAAAAAGTGAGGGCAATGGTTTCATCCCTATCTCATCGCAAAAATGGTGTGATAACTTTTTATCACACATTTGTGATGATTAAAAAGTTCACATTTTTGTGGCAATTATTTTTTCCCACATACTTTTTACCGCAAAAATAAAATAATCAAAAAGTTATCGTGCCCTTTAGCATTATGAGGATCGCAAACCTTCAGTAAGAGTATCAGTATCGCTAAACAGATTCCTCTGTGCCCTACGAACTCACCCGGCCGCTGGGTGCAGCCACACTCCACGCAGCAGAGCTCGGCGTGCAGGCGCAGCAGGCCCAGGTGGGTCCGGCAGCGGCGGACGGCGGTCATCGCGGTCGTCGACGGGGTATGACTGCCGGGCGCGGCCCGCGAACTCGACTTATAGTCGGGGACCGCCGCCTGCTATCGGGGCGCACGTGAGGGGCGCCCGGGCCCCGCACCCCAACCTACCCTAACCAGGCACGCGCCACGGGGCGAAACATCATTGCGACCGTCGGGCCACCGCGACGCTTTGCCGTTCGGCCAGCATTTCAAATCGTTGGACATCCCGTGTCACTGCACTGAAAGCCGGACACCAAGCAGGACAAAGTGTCCTTGGTTCATATCGACAGCGTTCGTTCGAACGCAGACATTATTGTTTTGGCGTGCGGGTGTGCGCCACGGAGCGGATCTGGCGCACAACGGTCTACCCCAGATTAACCCCCGGGTCATCCTCGTGTACTCCCCCCCCTTTTTGGAGCACACTTGCAACTTGTCTCGCAAGAGATATGTTCGACGAGCAAAAGCTCTCATTTCGCGAGTTGCACCACTTTACGCATGCACACGTCAACTTGCGAGTCTTGCGAGTAACAGGCAGGCAGCGCCCAGGCAGCGGATAAGCTATCAGCGCAGTGTTGGGTTGGGGGCGGTATGGTGGGTGGTCACCACCTCACACCCTCTAGCGAGCGGCAAGAGGGGGAACTACTCACCTTCCGACTTGGAAGGGTAGAGCTGCATGTCGTTGAAGAGCTGTTGAACTTTCTCCGAAGGTATGAAGGCGTTGGCCCCGACTCTGCCCGACCACGCAGAGTACAGCTCCCTGGAATCAGAGCAAAAACCGACAGAGGTCAGCGACTTGCGATGGAGTCATACATCTATCATTTGCACACACAGCGGCAGGCGCAGGGCAGGCCCTCGTGGGGCCCGGCCACGCCCGAGGAGTGGACCCCGCGCGATCCTCGAGCACAGCGTCAGTACCCCGCGCGCGCTCACATACCCCGCGGCCAGAGGACGACGCGGATCCCTTCCGACGAGGATCAAAAGAAATCACACTGCAAGAGGTAGTTGAGAACCAAGTGTTTTGTGATGACTGTGTTGTTGTTGACAAACAACAGCGTTGTTTGACAACAATAAAACTGTTCAGAAACAGAGCAGACTTTGTCTCTTCAATTCAAAAAACAAGTTATTTTACAACACTTGGTGTAACCACACAGTAAGCACTTCAGAACGGCCATTGTCCTTATTTTAGTAAGCTAGTTGTTCTTATAAAAAGTTGTTGCCCGACAGCATAAGTCGCAGTGAAAGAAATTACAACAAATTTGCGGACGGTTTGGCCACAGACCCCGGAAAATTTCGGAGTCATTCTGTACCGCACGAACCCGTGCGGCGAACTTGCCTACCGTCTCTCTCCATGGCGCCTTACGGCCCCTTGCAAGTAGGCAACACGCCCACACGCCTGCACGCGAACATGGCATAACCACCACATTCGCCGGGGTCTGTTGTCATCCTACTCGCATGGCGAGCGACGGCAGTCAAGCCTGCCCGCGGAAAAAAAGAGGACGGCGCAGATCACCCATCCTGTATCCTGAGTCAGCAAAAGATTCGCTCCAGCAACTACATTTAAGGGTAATTTCGTCTCATCACAGCCAAAAGCGAGATCAGTCCGCATCTTTTTTTTCATCATTGTGCGAGGAAATGGGCCTGGCTCGTGGATAGAATCCTTCCCTTTTCCTTTCAACGCGCGATAGAGACCATACGCGCATGGTCGCGGCATTCAGGAACTGCGGTTCGAGTGCACTCCGCGCATGCCTGCTCCCGGCCAGGCGCCCGGCGCCCGAACCTCGCCACCGCATGGAAAGCAGCTCGAGCAGAGGCAGGCGCTAAGTGACAACCACGGCCCGCCTGTCCACCCCACCACCAACGCATTGGCACGAGGAGGGCCGAGCGGAGGGGAGGGGGGAGTAGCGCGAAACTTATCGCCAGTTTCGCGAAGCAGGCCCGTTTTTCCGAGAAGCGGCTCGATGCCGTCCGGCGCGGTGTCCGCGATTAGACGGCGGGGCACGTGTGTGGTAGTGTGCGAGTGTGCGTGTGCGTGTGCGTGTGCGAGTGTGCGTGTGCGCGTGTGCGTGTGCGCGTGGGCGTGCCGTGCAGACCACCGTCCTACACAATATCAGAAGCCAAACACCACGGTCGGACACACACGTAAATAAAATTAATGTGATAACAATTGTTATTACTATTATTGCTGCATTGATCAATTAATAATTGTTACTAGTACACGTTACTACTATTACTGTTATCGCTACTGCTCATCGGCGCGGCAAGAGCCCAAGGGGACAGCAGGGCGGCTGGACGGACGTCCCCCCTGGTCCCGCACCCCCCAAGCACAGAGCGGCCCCCCTTGGGCCGATCAGAGCGGCCGTGACGTCACACGCCGAACCCGGCCGTGATGTCACCTGGCGGCGGCGCGGCAGCGGCGTGTTGGCAGAGGCGCCCGCTCCGCGACTCCGCCGGGCCCGGCCACCACCAGCGCCGGTGGCGTAGCAGCGTAGCAGCAGAGCAGAGTGTGTACGGAAAAAACTGAATTAAGTTGTCAAAACCAATAAATTAGGTAACTTTGGGATAGACAAGAAATTCGCTGTGGCAGCTAAGAGTTGGTTGCCACAGCTCCTGCAGCAACAGCTTCGCTGTGGCAACCAACTCTTGACTGTGGCAAGGCACCTAACTACACATATTAGCTGCCACAGCGACTTTGTAACTATCCATCCCCAAATCAGCCAATTTTTTTTAGTCCTGAGGACCAATTCTCTCTCCCCCCCCCCCCCCTGTGCCGAGCAGGGGCGTGCAGAGGTGTCGGGTGAAAGGAGGCTAATTAATGCGGCGATATCATCGCGAGGCGCGCGGCGCTGGCTCCGTGGGCCGCTGTGGCCGCGGGCGGTGCGCGCGCCGCGCTACACCACGCCCCGCCACGCCCCGCCCCGCCCGGCCCCGCCACGCCCCCAGACCACACGCCGGCATCCTCGCCAGGGTCATTGCCACGCGGCACGGGGAACACCGAGCCGAGTAAGGCCCCACTGGGATTTAGGGGCGGAGACATTTTCCACACGCGTAAGATTGTCGAAAAAGTTACACGAAGCGGCATGGTAAAACTGCGCGAAAGATATTTTGCACTATTCATCACCTTGATTTCCTGCGATATGTGAGAAATGTGTTGTTCGTAAATTCGTAAATTGAAGAATCGTCCAAGTATCTTTTTTCCCAAAAGTTACGGGAGCTTGGCGCCTGCGAGACGCAGGGTAGGCCACCCCGCAAGACACGCATGCACTACGGGCGAGATGTTGCCTACCCACCAGGCGGTACGAGAGCCTGAAGAGGAAAGAGGAAGGCTTGTAACAGCGCACGACGGACCTACCGGGTGTATCTTTGAATTAGTTTCTTAATCGGAAATTGTGAAAGCGTAGAAAATGTACAGACATGTTTACAGCGGAGGTGTGCAGGGATTGCGTGGAGGGTGCGTGATGTCGCGGGCTGGTGTTGGACACGAGTTGCTGGTGGAACCCTCCTGCTCATGGAGCCGCGGGGACGGCCGCCCCCGCCGGCGGCATGGTGGACAAGGAATGCCACGCTGCTCTGCTGGCGCGAGTGGGGCCGCGGATGGGCGTGGGCGGGCGGCAGGGTGAAAACTAATGACCTTAGCGTATGTTCAGCTTCACGGCGTTAGAAAAAACAAAACAAAAAAAAACATTAACGCTAACGTGAGAGACATGCGGCCTCGAGCGCAGCGGCTGGCCAAAACCTGGAACGCCGCCACAACCGAGCGACCTGGTGCTATATGGGAGACGGTGAGAAGAGGGTGAGGGGAGGGGGGTCTCTTAACACTGTGGCAGTCTTAGGGACTGTCTTGGGGGCTGCCTCAAAATAACCAAAGAGCATATGAAAACTTGAGCAATACATTTCCCGGGGCGTGACTGCTAGGCAAGGCGTGTGCCTCAGGCCGTCTCTAGCCCGTTGTATCAGTTCCTGTACCAGTCGCCCGGGCTGATAACACACTGCCGCGTCGAACAGAACAGGCGTCGATCCTGCTTTGTCGCTCAAGCGCTGAACTCCTTGAGGAAGTCCAGTCACCCGAGCTGATTCCCAACGCATATGCCATATTCCTGACGCATGTCGAGGAAATCTGGCCGGGTGTTTGGTTTCTGCACCAGTCGCCCCGGCTAGTACGCGCCAACTCAACGCCGTATCGCAGCTCCAAAAGCAATATAGATCAGTCGAGCAGTCCGGCAGTCCTCAGCAGCGCGACGCAGCGGCAGCAGCAGCCCGACACTAGCGCTCTACACGGAGAAGACAGTCTTGTCCGTGCCAAACGTTTTGGGCGCACTGAACGCTCCAAGAACAAGAGCTCCGTTGCCTGTCTTCGTCCAGGATGTTGCTCTACGCGGTGCTGGCCACCGCCCTGGCCTGCCCGTGCCCGCCGGCGCCCGCCGGCTCAGAGGTGTGCGGCTCGGACCTCGTGACGTACGACAGCCAGTGCCACCTGGAGTGCGCCGCCGTGCAAGGTGAGTCCATAGCAATGCCTGACAGTGGTCTGGAGGCGACTGCCCCGCCGTGACCACGCCAGGGGTCCGGGTGAGTGGCTGAGGCTTGACTTCGATCCCCCCGACTTTACGCGTCTAACGATACATACCAATGGATCCAGTCCGCCTGTCTGAACGGCACTAGGCCGTGGTGGCGCGGGCGCACACGCGAAGCCCGCCGCAGCCGCGCTCCAATAAAAATACTTAAGGCCACTGCTTTTCAACGCTTAACGCTGGACAACGTTTACTTTAAACAGCTGTAACTAACGACATTTCTACTTGACGACAGTACAAGCTGATGAAACCACGCATCGTCTGCTAATTAATCCACTGGGCTAAGAAGGAGACAGTCCTCCCGACCAGGCCACAAAGCCCCGACCCAGTGCAGCGGTGGCGTGGCGGCGCGCTGTCTGCCAAACACACACCGCCCGGCCAGCTCTGTGCTACATCTAGGAAGAGGGAGGGGGAGGGGGACTTTGTCTTCTGGTAGAGGCAGTCATAGGGGCTGAGGACTGAAAAGTTGTAGCAACCACCGTATGGTTACTTCCACGGGACAACAATAAAATATGGTTGAGGCAACAACAGCACAGGATTATCAACCAAAAATACGTTTTCACCACTAGCAGATCGTTGTCTCAACCATATAGTATGGCTATCCCTGAAGAAATTATGGTTGCTACAACTTCTCTTTTTCTGGGTATGTTGACCGAGGGGGAAATCACTTGCGAAATAGTTCGTACACCTTCCCCCGAAATAGTCCGAAATAAAGGCGAAATAGAGGCGAAATAGAGCGAAATAGAGCGAAATAAAGACGAAATAGACGCGAAATAGTCGGTGAAATAGTCGCGAAATACCCCTGAAATACTCCGAAATAGCGCGAAATAGCCTGAAATAACCCGAAATAGGCGGGAAATAGCCGAAATGGCAGGAGAAATAACCGAAATGGTAGGAGAAATACTACGAAATAGTCCGTACGCTACGAACCCTAGTGATTTCCCCCTCGATGTTGACCACTTCACTAACCAGAGCAACACGCCCGCGTATCTGAACACCTCCCTGTAGCGAAGGTCCACTGTAAGTTGCTTGATCTGAAGCCTTGACCACTCACTCGATCGACTTCTACAAGGTAGATGTACGCCAGACCACGTCTCGCGTAACAGGCTTCGCGATACCTCACGAAACACTGTTACGCTGCGACGCGCCTGGCATACACCTACCTTGGCCTGCGGCGCTGACACCCGAGTCAGGTAGTGCAAAAATGTGCACAAAGATACGGGCCTCCGGCCCGTCACTTCGACTAATCATGCAGGGTTGTACATTTTTTCGCTTATTTTCGTCAAAAACACCCTCTAGCGCCTCAACGGTTTGAGCTAGAGCAAAACGGATTAAATTTTCGCCCGTAGGGCTCTACTTTGATGAGTTACCCCTTAGGACACCATAAAAAAAATATTTTTAAAAAACGTCATTTTTGGTACCTGTTGTTTTTGATTTTTTTAAAATCCAATTTTTGAGCTAGAAAGCTCATCCTCGAACTCGATCTATCTTTTCATGATACAAAACGACCCTGAAAATCCCAGGTCGCTCGCTCAATTCGTTTTCGAGTTTTCGTGCGGACAGATACACAGACAGACACACAGACACACAGACACACAGACACACAGACAGACAGACAGAAAAAGTTTTTTCCGACCAGACGGAGTAATAGGCTTCGCTAATCGCTCAGCCAATAACTCCGCAGGCCTCTCCCTGAAGCACCCCGGGCCGTGCTCGGCCTCCGAGTGGGACGTGTGTTACGAAGAGCACCATGTGAGTCTCTTGCTCTGTGCCCGCGGCAGGCCGACGCCCCTCCCCGCTGACCCGCCCCGTTGTTGCAGTGCGACGATCTGGCCGACTGCGGCTGCGGCAAGGGCGATTACTCTTCAGACTGCTCCACTATGTGCCTGCGGAACTGTGGCTGCGGCTGCGGCGGGTACCCACCGGGCGGCCAGGACGTGGGCCTGTGGGAGGAGTGCTACAACAGGAGGGGGTGCGGGCAGTGTATGGATCCCTGCAGAGGGGAGGAGTGTGAGGATCAGTGCCGGCTGGAATGGTACAAGTGCGACTGCGAGTGCCTACAACAGGCGTATCCAGCCCCGCAGAGGAAGCGCAACTGGACAGCATGCCTCGAGCGACGTCAGGTGAGTCCCGGTGCCCCGCGGGTAGGCCGACACCCTCCCCGAGCTGATTGACCCGTCCCGTGTTGCAGTGCCACAACACGACCTGCGGCGAGTGCACAGGAGCTGGTACCTTCTGCGACAAGAGGTGTAAGAGGAGGTGTGAGTGCAACTGCGCTGGCTGGCCCCGGCGGGACTTGAGCGGCGAGTGGGAGGAGTGCTTCATCGGCACGCAGACCTGCGAGCAGGCACACTCAGCTTGTGTGAGAGAGTGCGGCGACCAGGACGACTGCAAAGACAAGTGCTACATGGACTTGCTGGACTGCTCGTGCGCGTGCCGCACTGCCGAGGAGGAGGAGTGGCGGCTGTGGGACGAGTGTAAGGAGAAGAGCGAGGTGAGTGCAGGAGCGCGTGCTCCGAGGCAGGCCGGCACCCTCCTCCCCGCTGACTGTCCGCCCTGTGTTGCAGGGGGAGTGCAAGAAGGAGCGCTGTGAGTGCGACGAGCTCGACGGGGAGTGCTCAAATAGATGCAAGCGTAACTGCCTGTGCGGCTGCCTCGGTATCACCGCAGACAGACTGGACGACTCGGTGCAGCAGTGCCAGATCGACAACAAGTGCCAAACTACACGCGAAGACTGTCTAAAAGACTGCGACAAAGCCAGCGACAAAGCCAAACGCAAAAAATGCAAGCACGCGTGCATCCTAACCACGGAGAAGTGTAACTGTGAGTGCGCCCGGAGCCGCCCGCCAAAGAGAGTCGAAATAATCCAGCACTGCAACTACCTCTCTTAGGATCTGTAGGAACAGCCCAGTGCTGCGGGTTTGCCTACCCGCTCCGCCGGTGAGGTAAGCAAACCCGGGACGGTACACAGACATGTCGCGGTGTTTCATCTCCAGGAAACCATTAAATTACCAAAACTATCTCCTGCTGGTCAGAGCATAAATGTGTGCATTACATCGAGGGAAAAGGGGGGGAGGGACTGAGCTGAGCGCAGCTGTGCGGCCTGCCCAATACCGTCACCACACTCATGCGAACCCCTTCTGAAGAATAGGGGGGGGGGCACGGTTCCTCCTTCTGGTAGAGACAGTCTTTGGGACCTGTCTGTCTACAAATTTGTTTCCACTCTGCGCACCTTTCTACATGGAATGAGAACACACCCTGCGACTGGCCCTGAAGAAACAGTCACCACCGCCTCCAATGATGGCGACGAGCGCGTCGGGGGCCTCGGCCAGGGCGGCGGGGACCAGCGGGGACGTGCCCCCGGAAGGGTGTCGGGCGCGGCTCGGCGGCAGCGGAAATATCCGCGATGCGTGTCGTGTGCCCGAGCACAACAAATGGCCCGCGCGGTCCTGGCCCGCCGCCAAGGTCGGCCCGAGTCGGGGGAGGGTCAACCCAAATGTGGCCTAGAAAAGAGAGAATAAGCCGCGGCGGGCGCCACTGACCCGGGCAAGCGAGCCGCGCCAATGGGATCGAGTTCAGGGTCCGCACTCGCCTCGCAAGCACCGGGGGCGGGCGGCAGGCCGCGAGGCGGGTGCACACAGACCGACACAGAAAAACGGCAAGCCCTCCAAAACCACACCTACAGATTTTTTTTAAATCCGAAATTTTTCCGTAAAAATTGGTAACTTTTCCAGAAAAAAATCGAAAAAATATGTAATATTTCCAG